GATTAAATCAAGATTGCAAGAAGATCCAATCAGACGGGTTTACTGGAAAAAGAAGATTACATCAGACTTCTCCAAGCAAGAAATGTTTAAAATGTATAAGTGTGTTAATGTGATTTTTAACCCAATCATTATAGCAAAACGTTACTACCCTCCCTAAAATACTATATAAGCAGTTGAACTTCACAATAAATTCAGATTTTTTGACCATCACACCGAGTCCCCATCTCTCTCTCTTCATTGCCAATAGACAGGTCCTTACTGGGCATCTTCCCACAGCACCCCTGGGACTGTGCAAAGTGCTGAAACACAGGAAGGGCCAGGGAGAGCCCTTCATTCTTCAGGACATCCCGAGCTCAGGGTGAGCCCAGTGCTGGCTACCAAGTCCTGCTACTAGAAAAACCCTAAGCTGTTTCTTGGCAGCCCATTGATTGTCTGCATTGCCAGAGGTGTCTTTGGTGGTCCACGTGCACAGTTTCTGCTGGCTGGGGGGGTTTGCAGAAGCTACAGACACCACCAAGCTTCTCAAAGCAGCCAGGAGCTTTGGAAGAGGATGAATCCAGCCTCCCTGTGCTGCCAGCTGCACATCCCAGAGGGTTTGCCCTGTGCAAGCAGCACTGAAACAGGTTACCCCAACCCCTGCTCTGGTCTGTCTGCCAGGCCCTCCAAGGGCTCTGGGCTCTGCAGAGCCAGAGGCAGATTTGCTGCTCTGCTCCTCACAGCTTGCCCAGGCTCTGCTTCCCTTCCGTCATTTCCAAACCTTCCTGGATTCTGCCATTCTCCCGCAGTGATCTGAGCTGAGGGATGCCAGCTTCTCTGCTGTGGCACAGAGCAAGGTGCTGTGAGCTCCTCTGGAGCAGCAACATGCTCTCCAGCCCTGCTAACAAAACCAAGGCATCCTAAAGCATCCCTGCTCTCTGCAGATCGCTCCCTGCAGCAAACCCAGCTGGCAGATTCCTGCCTTTCAGGAATGGGACTGGGCATGGGGGGCACAGCCACCTCCTGCCATGCCTGGGGCACTGTGGTGAAGCCAAGGAAGCAGAGATGAAGCCCTGAGCCAGCTGTCTGCCAGGGCACACCTGCATCGTGCCCTTGCTTCCCCAGGAAAGCTGCAGCTTCCTTTTGGCTTCTGCCTGGGCCCTTCACAGGAGAGCTGTGAGACCTGTATCAAAGCAGGAAGACTTCTCAGAAATGAGATCATTTAGACTAAAGCTCAGTGTGATTGGAAACGTAGATAGTCCTCATTTTCTAGTGGTTGTTTTCAGAATTCAGATTCCTTGTTGGCAGTGTGCTGTAACACATCCCAGCTCCTGTGCTGCTCATTTTAAACTGCCCAGAGCAAGCCCTTCCCTCTGGCCATTCCCTGCCAGCCTCAAACAAGACATGGGAGGAAAAGCAAATCTGCTCTTAGAGGTGACAATTCTCTTCAAATTTAAGGAAACTGTGACCTTGAAGCAATGCAGTGGGAATGGGAGCCTGGACTGATTTCCCAGAGTTCAGGCATCCCTGCAAATCTCCCATGGTGACAATCAGGTCAGAAATCAGAGCATGAAAATACAAATGTCAAGCGAAAGGATACAATTTTTCATGCCTGGCTGAAACCAAGCACCCTGATCTCCCAGCACAGTTTTACTCCTGTAAGTGGTGCAGATAATCTCACGTACAGGCAGATATCCATGGCAGGAGCTGAAAGCACCATTAAAGGCTTACACAGTGTTGCCTACAATTTAGGGTCTACTAAAAACATAAACATCTGTTGTTCAGTTCCTTAAATATTAAGCTGGCATATGAAGCTTATTTATTTTTGTTCATTTTTTTTACTCTCTCTCTCCCACACACAGCAGGGATTTTGCTGCTTCTGCAAAAGGGGCCTGGGGGTCCCTGGGCAGCAGCACAAGCAGCTGGGAGCAGCCTGGGTCAGGAACAGGCACAGCACTGGGCATGGGAGGCAGCAGAGAGGCTCTGGGGCTTCTGCCCCTGTACCTCCCCTCCCTCCTGGCTTCCCAAACGAGCCCAGATGCATCCACAGGACCATCCAGTTCTGACTTTCCCTCTTTGTGAAAAATCCCCCTTCCTGGAAGGATAATTTCAATCCAGACTGAAAAAATGTTGTATTATTTTCCCATGTTTTGTGGTTTCTGCAGAAGCAGGGCGCACAGGAAAGACAGCTGCTGACCTTTAGAGCTGTCACCCATCTGACAGGGAGGGTGAGAGCCCCTGCTGCCTCCCTGTTCCTCTTCCATGCCACTGTGGTCCCTGGTGGAGCAGTTCCCTTCACTGCAGAGGTCCTATTTGTCACTGCAGCCACCGAGGGCTCTGCTGAGCTCTGCTGCTGCCACCCACCCTGCTCCACGTCCACAGCTTTGCTGAGGACAGGCAACTCTCCTGAGCCCAAATGCAACATTACATGTGATGGCTGCATCGGTGGGAAGAGGATTTAATGTACAAACTTCCAGCCTGCAGTGCTGCTGCAGCTCCAGCAGAAATAAACATTCTGTTGGCACTGGAGAGGGCAGAGGCAGCAGAGCTTGTCCCAGCTCTGGGAATCGCTCTGACACATCAGACAGAACAGTCTTTGACAGGAAAACAGTTTTTCTTGCTGTTCCTTGCCCTTGGAGGAACTTTGGAGAGGAAGAGCCTCTCTTGCAGGCAGGACCTGCTCCAGCCCCAGCTGCTGTGAACACCTTGCAACAAGCAGCACCTCTAAAACAGTATTTTTAGCCTTAAAAGATGGAAAAACACTGAAGTCCTGTGAAATGCAGCCCTTGCCTGTGCTGAGGAGACTGGCCCATGGTGGTGCAGGAGAAGCAGCTGCTCCCAGCACAGGGTGAGCTGGCTTTTGTGGGGAATGAAAGGTGTTCGTAACAGGACAATGGGCTGGGGGTGTATGAGGATTCATTTAAACATCTCCACTGATTTAATTTGCTTCTCCCTAAAGTCCCTGAGCAATAATAAGCTTAAATTAAAGTTTACATCTGCAAATGTGGCTCACAGAGTGATCTTTACCTAATTCCATCTTATCTTTCAGGTGCTCGCTGCATGAGGTGAGACCACGGCAGGTCTGGGAACACTGATGGAGCTGGAGCCAGCCTGGGGTGGCTCCCAGGGTGCAGGGACCCAGTGTGGAGGTGTTTAGGGGGTGAATGATCCCTTTGTGCTGGGAGAGTCCTTGCCTGTCACAGACTGGTCCCCAAGGGGGCTGCCATGCTCTCCAGTGTCTCCCAGCATCTCCGTGCCATGAGCAGCCGCTGCTGGTCCATCACTCATGGCTGAAGGCAGATTTCTTCACACAGGAGGAAAAACTCTGCCCTGGCACTTCCAGCTGCCTGACAGTGCTGCCCTGATGGTGTTTGGTACCAAATGTTCCACTGGCATAGCAATATTTAGAGCTACTATTCCTTATCTTGGCAAAAAAAAAGCTCATGGCCTGTTGGAACCCTGGCTGCTGAAATTTTAGATTTTCTGTGCTGCCAGGCACTGACCCCCAGGAGAACACTGCATTTGACCTGGGGCTGAGGAGAAGGCTTCCAAAATGGAATGACAGAACTGGGATTGTGGGTGTGGAGTTTGAAAAGAAGTGTGTGATATCACAGGGTGGAAAACTCAGAGTTGAAGGGTTTAGAATGTAGTAATATATATAAAGCAAGATGGAGGTTCTAGGGTGGAGGCTGCTACTTCTTCTCCATGAGTTTGGGTGGTTTTGTGTAATTGGACAGAAAAGTCCACATTGCAGGCACCAGTGTTTGGTTATTGGATTAAAAGTAAAAATAATTCAGGTGTCATTTCTTAATTGGACAGTTTGTCCTTAAAAGGCCTTATAGAGAGAGAGATAAGGCTAAGGCTCCATTTTTAGTTTGTTAGAGTGAAGTTCTGTAGAACTCAGGGTTTGTGAGACTGTAACATAAATAAGAACTAATAAACATCTGAGTCCCAACAAGAAATTCTATCTCACACATTTAATCCTGACCTTGGCAGAAAAGAAGTTAAGACTCAACAATGGTCATTTATGGACTGGCTTCGCTTTGTGTCCAGGTTTATCTGTCTCATGTCACGGGTCTGTCTTGCAGTTTGTATTTGTTAAGTTCCTGCTTTGCCTGATCCCACCAGCAGCTTGGTTATATGTGACTCTTTTCTTAGCAGCCTTTTTTGCAGGGTTCACTTTCCTGCTCTCAGAAGAGAAGCACTGATCTTCAGAAGTCACTGCTCCCACCCTCTGCACTGACCATGCAGCTGCTGGACCTGCTGATAGTGCTCACCTCTCTCCACAGCATTCCTGCAGACTTAAATCCTAGGACCAATCTCATCAAGGTAGGTAAATCTTTCCTAGTTTTAAGTAGGGGTAATTTGAAGTATCTAGAGTGCTCTGGCAAACTTCCCTCATCTGTGATGCTGTCATAGGAGCCTCTGATGCCTCAGGATTTCAGCTTTTCTATTTTTCAGATCCTGCACTGCCTTAGTGCATAACTCCAAACTCCATACACAGTGTTAGTTACTGCCTTCACATTTTGGTCAGACAAAACAATTCCTCTGGGCCTGGAACCCAAGGACACCCTACAGCCTCAGGCTCTGAAAAGTACAAACAAAAGTGACTTGGGGGAGCAAACAGGGGGTAAATGACTTCATTAGCTGAAGCTGTAATTGGAGAATTAACCCCTGATGTGTAAATGGACCAAACTTAGAATTGTCTGAAAAAACTGGTGCCCATTGTCCAGCTTGGGTGCAGCCTCTGGGAGGCTCTGGCTGCCCAAGGTGTGGCTGATGAAGACCTTTAATAAATGCCCGCTTTATTCTCTTGTCTGGCCTCTGTTCTAGGTAGCTCCTCCAGCTGTACACACCTGAGGATGACTTCCAAAGCCCTGCTAGGCTGGAGCCTGTCACCAGGACAGCCACAGGAGAGGCTTTTCCAGGGGTGGCAGCACATCTGACAGCAGAGGAGTTCTAAAGGTGGAAAATGGGGATCATGGGCTTCTGCCTGCCAAAAGGCAGCTGAGGGATCAACTTACCTGTCTGACAGCACAGAACAGCTTCCCATAGGAATAGACAATGATGGCAAATGGGATTACGAGGCAAAAGATGAAAAGACAGATGATGTAGGAGGTGTTGTTGGCATCCTTGGAATGCCAGTTCACAGAGCAGGTTATCCCTGCTCCTTCTGGCCCATAGCTGCTCCAGCCAAGAAGAGGAGGAACAGTCCAGAGCAGGGAGTATGTCCAGGACAGGATGATGGCTGTCCATGCTTTCCTGTAGTTGGTGGTGTCAGGCTCTGCTGTCCTCGTCATGGTGCAGCAGCGCTCATATGAGAGCACAGCCAGGGAGATGAGAGAGATGATGCCTGTGTCAAACCAGACCACTGTATCAGCAAAAAATGAATGAGTGAAGGCTTTGCTCTGCCTCCCCCAAAAACTATTCCAGGCTATGGATGAGACTGATGGCACTGGCTTTGGAAACAAGGTGGGCAAGGACTGGAACTGGAGGTGTCCCCCTGAGGGTGAGAAGTGCTGAGAACCTGGCCCCACTCACCAAGAGCTGGGGGTGTTTAAACACGTGTCCAGCCAAAGCCAGTCAGTAATAAATGCTCATCAATACTTAAGCACACCTGTCTGAATGGATGTGTGTGTGTGTGTGTGTGTGTGCCCTGCAGCAAAATCCTGCCTTTTCCTTCAGGTTTGATTCTTGCTGCACCTGTAAAATTCAAGATTAATATCTAGACTTGCCCAAAGTGTGAATCTGATCTGGTGCTTGTCTGCCAGCTCTGAAGTGCAGCCTTCTGAGCCCTTCTTGGGGAAGTGCAGCCCCACAGGCTTTCATAAGGATTTCATGCTGTGCAAAATGAAGAGCTGTAGATTAAACCCATGTCCTGAAGCCCCCTGTGCCAGCAAGTGCCCCCCTTGGGGAGCAGGCAGCTCACGAGCCTTTGCAGGGACAGTGCTGGGTCTCCTGCAATTGGGGTACTGCCAGCAGACACCAAGAGGGCAATAAAACCACCAGCAGCAAATCAAAGGCTTCTTTAGCATGCAGAAATGCTGGAGGGGAGGTAATTTCTAAAGCTGCTATAAGAGTTTTCAATTTCCCTCAACACACCTCCGAGGCTGCATTGCAGAAGCGATGCTGCCACGTACAAGGGGATGCTGCTGGATGCTGACACACTCCTGCTAAACTTTCCTTGCCAAGTAAAGGTTTTACATGCACAAATTTGGCTTTTTACCCTGTGTAACTTCATGAGGGAAAGAGATGGCAGCAAACAGCTGCTGCAAATATCTCTTCAGAGTGTGCATAAGCAGTGTCAGTGTCTCCTAAGTGGCTGTGGGAAGCCTGGATGACAGGGTAAGCTGTGTTCCTGGGATTGGAGGGATGCTCTGCTGGTAAAGCCTCTGCTCCCTGTGAATGCTGGCTGGGGGAGAGCCCCACCGATGTGTGCCAGTGTCTGCAGTGGTACAGCAGGCTGGGAGGGATTGTCAGCACTGGGAAGCCTGAAAACACGAGCTGTTGTTCTGTATAACATGATCCACGTTGTACCTGCCGTCCCCACAGCCCCCTGTGCTACGCAGGGCTCTCCCTCTGCGTGCCCGGCTGGCAGCTGAGGACAGGGCTGGCCAAAGGTGCCCAGGGCTGCGCTTTTCTGCCGGCCTGTCCTCCCAGTGGGATCTGGGCTCAGGGCTGGAAGACACCAGATTTCCAAGAAATCGTGGCTGTGGGGGCTCAGGGCTGCCCGCGCTGAGATGGGGCACTCAGGGACAGGGTTTAGTGGTGGGCTTGGCAGCGCTGCGGCAGTAATTAAACTCGATGAGCTTAAAGGTCTTGTCCAACCTAAACGAGGCTGATTCTACCCCGTTTTCATCCTTTAAAGTTTGTAAAGCTCTTCCCCAGCCGCTGGAAACACGCTGTGGAGCCTGAATGAGGACTCACACCTAACGCCGCCTGGGCTTTTTCGAGCAAAAAAACCCCACCGAAACTGGGGAAGTTTACCCCCAGCCCTGTGCTCCTGGCGTGCCCGGTGTCCCCTTCCCAGGAGCAGCCCGAGCTCCATCGCGCCCGCCGCGCCCCCGGACACGAACTCACCGCACCTGCGGGCTGGCCCTGCCTCCCCTGTCCCCCCGGAGCTGTCCCGTTTTCTCCCCGGAGCTGCCGGGGCTGTCCCGTCCCCTGTGTCCCCGGAGTTGCCGGGGCTGTCCCGTTTTCTCCCCGGAGCTGCCGGGGCTGTCCCATCCTCTGCTCGGAGCTGCCGGGGCTGTCCCGTCCCGTCTCCCCGGCGCTGTCCCGTCCCCTCCCGGCGGGCACAGCCTCCTCTGGCGGTGCAGCCCCGCAGCCCCGTTCCCACTCACCGCAGAGGGCGGTGGCGAAGCCGTGCCAGGCGCAGGCGGCCCCCGGAGCGGCGGCGGCCCCCGCGGCCAGCCCGAGCGGCGTGCCCAGGGCGCAGCCCAGCAGGTCGCTGAGCGCGATGTTGAGCAGCAGCAGGTTGATGGGGGAGCGCAGCGCCGGGAAGCGCCAGAAGAGCAGCAGCACCAGCAGGTTGCTGCAGAAGCCCAGGCTGCCCACGGCGCCCAGGCACACGGCGGCCGCCAGCCGCCCCGCGGGGCCCAGGCACCGCTCCGCCTCGTCCCGGCCATCCGCGCAGTGGGGCGGGCACACGGAGCGTTCGCGGCTCCGCGCCCCGCCCCGCCCGGGCCGGCAGCGCCGCACCTGAGCGCAGGTGAGCGGCAGCGCCGAGCCCGCTCCCCACGGAGCTCGCTGTGGCAAAGCCGAGGGCAGCGGTAAATCCGGGCCAGAAGCCACCCGGGCTGTGTGCAGGCACGGCCTGAGCGAGGGGCGAGTCTCAGCTCGGCCCGCAGAGCTTTCAGAGTAAAGCTGAGAGGAGCACGGGCTAACCCAGGCTTTCCCAGAGTGCAGGGAAGGTGAAGCAGCCAGCCAGCTACACGGCAGTATTTCTTATCAGTTGAAGTTCCTTAAAATCTAAGTTCTGGTCATATCCCACCCTCCAGCAAGGAGAGCGCTCTCAGACATTTTAATGTATTGATGCTCTGACCTAAGAGGGGAAAAAACCCACCCCCACTGTTCTACTCACAAGGGAATTTTTCTCTGTGTTTGCAAATAAAAAGTGAATTTGTCCAGTTTCCTGCAGCTTGGTTGCTAAGAGCAATCAGTACTGAAAAGGAGAGTGTGAAGCCTGGTATTCCCCCCTCTTTTTTCCCCTCCCTTTTTATCAGTTGTTCATTATGGGGAGGAGGCAGTTCAGAGTGTTTCTTCTTATAATGACCTTCAAGATGGTTTTTTTTTGTTGTTTGTTTGTTTGGTTTTGGTTTTTTTGTTTGTTTGTTTTTTGGTTTTTTGTTTGTTTGTTTGTTTTTTAAACAACGCCCTGCATTTTGGGAAATCTGGCTGTTTCTTGCCTTCCCTCTGGGCTGCTAAGGGGATGGACAGGGTCCAGCATGATGCTGTTATTTATCAACATTTGTGAAGACTAAGAATGTAACTGGGCAGGGTAGCTCAAGAGGTCAGTCGCCTGAAACTTTGCACTTTAGGTAAAAAACAAGGATGGAAAAATAGACCCTTCACCAACTTTGCTGCACTGCTCTGGACATGCCCTTCAATGGCTTTCATGGAGCGAGGGGCCCAGAAGTGAACACAGGATTTGAGGTGCATCCATCCAGGTAGTTTTTAATGCAGCGAAGAATGTGCCTGTCCACGCTGTGGGCTGTCAGTTTTCCCAGGAGAATGCTGTGGGATGTTTCAGACCATTTACTGAAAATGTGTCAAGAAATCGTTTTGGTAATGCAAAATTGGTTTGATCACTTGGAAAATCATATCACTTACTATTTGTTGTGGTGGCAGAAGGACTTGCCAACTCATCTGGGGGAAAGGTGCTACGGTGCAGCACGTCTGTCTCCTTGATCACCTGGGAACTTGGCTGGAATTGCACAGCTGCTGGTGAAACTGGTTTCTCCTGTGAAAAAAATAGGATAGGAATTCCCTAAACCCAAATGTGGAATCCGAAGCGATTTAGTTACGTTTCCCTCAATTTTAGCGACGGCCACAAGATGGCACAGGGCCGCTCCGAGTAGGATGGGACTTGGATCCCTGGGGAAAAGGGTTTTCCAAGGCGCCGGGAGCAATGGCTGGGCTGAGCGCTGGAAAGAGCCGCGGGCACACGATGCCCGTGAGCCGTGCCCTCAAGCGGCGTGTGCGACAGCCGGACCGAGGGTGACTGTGGTGTTGGTGAGGGTCCCAGGACGAGGGAGGAGATGAATCTGACTCCATATTCTCAGAAGGCTGATATATTTATATGATATGATATCATATTATAGCTATACTAAGACTATACTAAAGAAAAACGATACATCAGAAGGCTTAAGAAGAATGAATAATAAAAAACCGGAGCTGACTCCTAAGAGTCCAACATAGCTGGCTGTGATTGGTCTTTAAGAAAACACAATTCACATGGATCCAATCAAACAATCACCTACCACATTTCAAAGCAGCAAAACAGGAGAAGCAAATCAGATAATATTGTTTTTCATTCTTTTCTGAGGCTTCTCAGCTTCCCAGGGGAAGAAATCCTGGCGAAAGGATTTTTCAGAAATTGTCACAATGATAGGTGACCCGCACCCGTGTGGCCTTGGGCAGAGCTGCCAGAGCAGCTCGGTGCCGGGGCTCCGGCAGGAGCTGATCTCCAGATAAACACACGCCCTGTCCAAGGACTCAGCGGCCCAGCTCCCGCCGGGATGGGAGAATTCCCTGCCGGGCTGGGTGAATTCTCCGCCGGGATGAGCGAATTCCCTGGCGGGCTGGGAGAATTCTCCGCCGGGCTGGGAGAATTCTCCGCCGGGCTGGGAGAATTCTTCGCCGGGCTGGGTGAATTCTCCGCCGGGATGAGCGAATTCTCCGCCGGGATGAAGGAATTCTCCGCCGGGATGAGCGAATTCTCCGCCGGGCTGGGAGCTGCCCGTGCTGGCCGGGGCTGTGCTGGGGCGGCCGCAGCGCGGGGACGGGACACGCGGGCACGGGACACGCGGGGACGGGGCAGGGCTGGCGCGCCGCAGCACGGGCGATGGCCGGGCTCTGCGCGGAGCCCAGGCGGGATGCCCTGGCGCACAGGAGGTGGCGTTCCTGGCAGCGGCAGCGCTGAACCCGCCGGCTGCTTTGCTGCTGTGCCTCCCTGCTGGCTATCGAGTGTCAGCGTCCAGCCAGCATCCCAACTCATTTCCCGCACAAGTATTTCGATAATGGCTGGAAAGGGGCAGGAAAGCGACACGGATAATTCCCTCTGGCTCGCAGCACTCTGTGGGTTGTGCTGTCCTGTAAATCCCTTGTCCTGATGTGGAAATCCCACCAGCCACAGCCACCAATGGCACTGAAGTCAACAGTGTTGTGGCAAATTATCTTTACTCTCTTACTAATGATAAGAGAAGTAATAATCCTCCTGCAGGACTAATTACAGCCACAGAAATCGTGGTAATGAAAAGAACTCCCTTTGCCAACATTTGAAAAGTTACAATTTACATGAACTAAGAAGCTTGTGTAAATAATTATTATTTTTTTGTACATGGCTCTCTGTGGCCCCATCAACTCTGACCTCAGTAAATCAGGGTGTAATTAATCACAGAGGATTAAATGTTGCAGGACAAAGACTGGAAAATTCTGTAGAAGCAAAACTCTGGTTGATTTTGACTCAAAATAAGCTTGGGTTATCTGTCCCAAAGGACGTGACAGCTCTGCTTCCCACTGCCAGTTCCTCTTGCTGCTCTCAGAAATCAGTATAATTCTTGTTTCAAGTTTTGGGGTTGTGTTTTTTATTTCTTAAAGAAAAAAAAAAAGAAAAGAAAAAGAGATCTTTATAAATCATCACATCCTTGTAGGGCTGTAAGCCCCAGAGTGTCTCAGAGATGTACTGGCCCTGAGCTGCAGGCTTGGGTCTCCCAGCCTGGATCACGCTGCTGACACGGGGATACAGCTCTTTCTGTTGTTCTTGTGGTGTTTATTAGTGCAGGTCTGTGGTCTGTGCTCCTCTCCAGCCTTTCAGCTTCCCCAAAAGATGGGGTGTGGTGGAGCAGGTGAGCACAGCACTGTGGTCCTTGTGGAGCCAGGAGACCTGCGGGGTAACACGGTCCTCCATGCCAGGGGAGAGGTCTGTGTGTCTCAGAGAACCTGGAAAGTAAATATAATGGACATTAAAAAAGATTTTAATTTAGCACTGGGGGAAATAGACACCAAAAAGGCAAAGAAAAAGCAAAATAAATGTATTGCTTGGGATGTTGAAGTCAGTAATGTCTGTGTTTCTGGTACAGAAACAGGATGTTCCCTGTGTGAAAATCTCCAGAGCAATAAGGGAAGGGCTTTGGCTCCTTGGAGTCCTCACTGGCCTCTTCCCTCTCCCTGTGGCTCAGGCGGTGGGTGCATGGCAAATAAAGCTCCTGGAGCAGAGCTCAAAGGCTGCAGAGGTGCTATGAAGTAGAGCCTCTGCTCACAGCAGAAAAGAAAAACAAACAAACAAACAAAAAAAACCCCAGGAGAAAATAAGATTTAACTCTTTTAACCTTCGAGACAACAACAATTCTGAAAAGATGTGTCAGTGACCAATTTCCTAGGATACATTTCTCACAGCAGGAGCTGTGAGGCACAAGCATACCAGCACTACTTGCCCTATGCTGAATCACAAAAAAGGCTGTCAAAGAAGAAGGTAGATAATAAGCTCTGGAAACGAGGAAAAAGCTTAATGACTTTTTCTCATCTCTCTTTTCAAGGCCTATTAAGGCTACTGGGATGTGCTAACAGCCAGAGAGGTCCCTGTGCTCTGCACTTTAACAGACATTCCCAGAATTTTTTTTTTTTTTTTTTTTTTTTTTTTTTTTTTTTTTTTTTTTCCCAGAACTCAGCAAGAGCAAATACAGGGGGAGTCTCTCAGCCATCAGAAGCTGCCCTGCTGCCACAGCTGTGGGTGCCCTGGTGCCCTGAGAAAGCACAGCTGGCTCCTGGCCACTGCCTGTGGAGTGATTCCCTAAAAAACCTCCCAGCTGCCAGCTACCCAAGGTTTAGCAGGTTACCAGTCCCCCACTCACCTCTCTGCACTCCTGGCTCCAAAACCCAGGTGAACAAGCTGAGCCTGGTGTCAGCTGCCCCTGTCCCCTCTGAAGGGTGCACAAGTGCCACAGCAAAGGCCATGAGGGAGGGGATGAACAACCAGGGTGTCCTGGGGCACTCAGCTGTCCAGAATAATTCTGGACCTCCTGGATTATTCAGCTTTGTTTTGGCCAGCTGCAAGTACTTAAAATGTCCTCAGCAGCTCTGGGTAAGTGATGTCCCAGGTCCCTGCTGCACCGTGGGTCCTGCTGCCACCAGAGCAGCCTGAATTTGAGACGCCACCCTCACTGCTCCCTAAATAATCGGCTCAAATGGTCGAAATAGAAGCCTGAATTATGCCACAGCTTGGTGTAATTCCCACCTGATTCTTGTGGTATTGAGGGGCCATCTGCCAAACAGACCTTAACACCACAAATAAACCCATTTCCTCTCTTTGGCTGCATTAAAAATAATTTGAGCATCAGTTTTCCCAGCCAAATTTAACACTGGTGTCAGCAAAGCACTCTAACTGAAGGTACCAAAGCTGAGGTTCAGCAGGGACCCAGCCCAGCAGACACAGCACTGCTCACAGGGGGCTGCCTGGGCTGTGTTCTGACTTACCTTGGTGATGCCAGTGTCTTCAGCACTGGCAATTTCAAACCCCAAGTTCTTTC